AGCGCTGATCTGGAAAACATTTAAGGAATTTCCTCTTTGTGCTCTCTATTGTGACAGTTAGGCAGTGGTTTATTGTAAAATAAAAGGTATTCATTGCTAAGTGTTGAAAGCTTTTCATAACTTCAACAATATTTTGAGCCAATGACAGACAGCTGAATATATGTGTCTGGCACCTCTCTTCCTGACAATCACACATACCTCATCTCGACACTGTATTTGTATGCTGTCATCCCTGATTTTGTATCTTTGTGGCTCAACATGAGATACATCGTCTGCTGTTTGGAAATGCCATAATATGTTACACTGATACAGCTGTCAGAAACCAGCATACAAAGCAGGTCAAAATCTGAACCTCACTGTAAAACTAAGTCTACTATTGTTTTAAATTAAATGTCAGACAGTAAATAAATAAAATAAATGTCTACACAAAGGTTCTATTGTCGCTTCTCTATTTCCTGAGCTAGATCAACTGCCATATGAGGAAACTAATGAATACTGGGCGGACATAACTCGCTGCTTATGAAATACATGAATGCAAGTCATGAAAAGGAAAGTTCTCTCTAAAGATTGCTATTTATACTTTTATTCCTCGAGGAGTCTAAACCACTCGTCTAAACAATTAGTTTACTGGCCCCAACGTGCCTTTTATACTAAAACAGAGAATTATTTAACAATTTTACAAAAATATATCAGTTATATGTTTTGTAGCATTAAATGGGCTATTATCTCAGCCTGTACTCTTTTAAAGAGGTTGAATTTTTGGTTGGTGCAACTGTGATTTAGTCACAGGGGGCAGAATGTAATATTCTCACAGTGGGTTTATGACTACTTTATGAGAACTACTGTATTCCCTTCGCGTTTATTCTGAAGACAAATCTGACGTTATTTACTTTGTCAGAGCATTTTTCCCCTGCTGCTGGTCACACCAACTGGAGCCATTTCAGCTTGAGACTTTATGGTGGACTCATTACATCATTACAGCAAAGAAAAACTATTATAGGAGAGCTTACTTGACAAACATGATTTATACAAGCTGTTTATCACAGTTCTTGGATATCTAAAAATTATAGGATATGTAGACTGTAGTTAGAACGGTTACTGCTGAGTGTTTGCAAAGCTCAGTTATGAATCAATATGAATTAAGGAAATGGTCTGGGTCTATTTAGTGTTAGAAAAATGTGGATTCAATCTGGAGGCATATGAAGCCTGTACTTCCAATATATTACATCCGAATGACTGCATAACTTGATTTTCAATAAATTTCAAACAACAAGAAGCTATTAATATTTCAAAACTGTTAACTGAGTTTATTCCCATTAAAGTGAATATCATACATGGGCTAAGGAATTCTAAAATAATAGTAGCAGGCCTGGGAAACAAACTATAAGAAGAAAAAGAAGAGCATGGAGCAAAAGAGGAAACATTTTTAGCAAGCTAGCAATATTAGCTAGTTTCTGATAATCAGTAGGGTAGTGGACCACATATATATTTTTTATATATAATTTTCTCTCTGTTTTTCAATCTACAAAATGATAAAGGTTTGTCCCATGTGGGAAATCTGACTAATGTTCATCAACAGCAGCACAGAGCTGAGCTGTACTGGATAGAGTTTCTGATCTCAAGTTTGATGCAAGTTTAAGTTGCTACAGTGGGCAACGGATGCAGTTTTCAATGCTGAGTCTATGTTTAATTGGCTTAGACTACATAAAAGAGCGTTTTAAATTATTTATGATGGAGATCAATTTATGCCAAGGTGGCATTTTTGTGAAAACAGTTTTGGAAATTGAGACATTGAAATAAGTGTAAATAATGGTACTGGCAACTTTTTTCGATGCACGACCTGTTTCTATAAATGAGCTTGAAAATTAGTGCAGTACGTACAGAAGCTTATGCCAATCACAGTTTTACACCCTCATGTGAGGTGAATCATTAGCAGTTTACAGTTCATTTATAGGAGAAGCAAAGATGAAAAAAAGGTTAGTTTCACTTCAAAGTAAGCCCCACCTCAGTATAATCTTATCAAAAAGTTGTTTTTCATATCACGGGGATTTCAAAAATACTATGTTTACATTTGACATTAGTTACATTGCTGGCACTTCCATATCCCAAGAGATTTCAAATAAGTGCAAGTGAAGAAGAAGAAGCTTTACTTCCTGCACCACCAACATTACAATCAAGCTCAAAGAGCAGGGATCAGAGACGTGTTTCTTGCATATTCTTGTGATCTGATGAGACAGAAGGTGAAGGGAAAAGAGATGATGCAAAAATTGTGCTTTTCAAGCAAGTAGAGACAGATAGAGTATATAAGGGTGTGTGTGTGTGTGCTCTGAATAGGTTTTTTACTTATTAAATTTATCACAGCTGAATGAAGTACTGCATCCTATAGCATCTGTGACTAGTCACAGCTGCTTTGATTTATTAAGTTTATTTTCATTACTTTGCAATCGTGCATGCTGTTGTTGTCTTACAGTGTTCGTCCTACTCAGCTGTGGTGTCATTTAATTTCTGCTATCGAGTTCAGCCGTGTCTTTGCTTGTCATCTTGATTTGTTTTGGTTTCTTTGCACCCTTTGAAATTAGACGCTTAAAAAAAACGAAAAAAAAAAACACATCCGTGTGTGAAGCAGTGGTCCCTCTTTGTGCAATTCAGATTTCTGACCCCAAAATATGTACTGTTTGCATTCTCATTGTGCCATGCACTCAAAAACAAAAAGGCTGTTTTAAGTACCGTGTAACTCAGTGTGACCAATTCTTCCCTGATCATCCCTGACAGCCATCAAATGACTACCACTACACCAGAAAGACAGAGTCACAACCATATGCCAGTGCCTAGTTTGAGACACCAGGGACAGTGAGAGCCAACCAGCCGTGTTTCACGCTGAGTTAACTGCCGAGTATGTCACATCCTGTTTTTGCATACAGGATGATCTGATAAATGTCTTATAATCCAAAAAATCTGAGTAGAAATGTGCGTTCCTTTGCTCCTTTCTATTATAAGACACAACAGACTTAACTTTAACTGAACTTTATGAATGCAAACATACATTGTCAGGTATATGTATGTAAATATCTCTCTATTTAAAAAAATGTCTTTCCTGCCTGTGATGTGATCAAGCAGTAACAGTGACAGCACTGTCTGTCTAATTGAAACAAAATAATCTTATTATTATTATTATTTTATTAACAGCAAATGCCACAACAGCCAAACAAATCGTTTGTAAATTTTTTGTTTCTTCAGGAGGGCTGGAGAATTACATCCATAAATAAAGTAAATTAGTGCATGCAAAACACATTTGTTTACTATTACTTAATACTGTAAACTACTTTTTCACAAAATAATTTCTTCAACTTCATGTCATCCAAATGCTTCATCATATCCATAAGGTAACTGTTTGCTGTACTTCGTGCTACAGGCTATGCACACAAAGACAAAGATTGACTAAAGGTTGATGCAAATGTAGCTGTATGCACACAAACAAGAAGTTCTGACTAATCATTATACATTTTTGTAAGTTTAGGACACATTCAAACATGATTGCAAATGAATGTTGATTACAAATCACAAAACATTACTATGAAGGTATCATAAAGTGATTAATTGAATTAAAAGCAACTGTCCTTTACTTCCTAGACAAAATATATTCAAGCTCTGTATCATTGCTAAATTAACCAGATATTGCAATTTCAGACTGACACGGGCATTACAGGCCATGCATGCATGCAATCTTTACAGGCAATATGAATTTATGAACGGTGCATTTATGCTTGTCAAATTGATTATGATGACAAAATATTCCATAAAGCTAAAAAGGCCTGCATAGAGGTGACCCACATCTTCAAAGGGCAACTTTTCACATCATAAAATTTAGCTGCACATTGAATGTCAGGAGGAAATTTCTTACATTGGGTCTACTACTGTAATACCTATTCAATACAATGCATAGTCAAGCTGAAGTACAGTATATGTGTGAATCCATATGGACATGATGCTTTGGTAGTTCAATATTTTTCATATTCTTAGAATTATCTTAATCTTCAGAGTGTTTATCCTAAAAGTCTCATATGTGCTGCCCTTTAAAGTGTTATTCCAAGCAAAATCTTTTCAGTACCAAACACTCACACCCTTTGCCTGAAAAAAGTGGCGGTAAAAATGTTGTAGTCTGCTCCTTCAAAGAGGAGTGCTAATGAAAATGTCTCAGGTAGTTTTAAAACCTATGACTACAAACCTGCAGCTGATCTCATTTGCATATCAGACATGGTAAATCATGCACAGCTGAAGTATGTGGACTAAAGTAATTCCTGCCTTGAGGCACCTCTGAGTACCACCCTCTGAAATGTCTACAAAACAAATGCTAAGTGCAAGCCCAGGTTTTTTTCTGCACAAATGAAGCAACACAGCGATGAAACTAAGAAAGATATGCAGTCAACTATAAAGCTGGTAAGACAAAGAAGTCAATCAGTTAAATAGTATTTATTAAAAAATTTTTTTTTTCAAAACGGTTCAAAAGCAAATTTCACAGAGGTGAAAATGTTAAACAACTGCACTGAAATAAATAAACATAAAGATAAACTTATCACAATGTATATCAATAAAGTACAAGGCACTCCATGTTCCAATGTACTGTGAATATTCTGAACCAGTTTTTCTGTCAGTTTCTACTATTGCAACTTTGTAACACTGAGGAGTTTTGGGGAAATTTCAGCCACATTGTATTTCTAGAAAACACTAATCTCTTTCCACCGCTGAATAAACTGACTGACTGGTGTACAAAGTGGCAGAATCCACAGGTCCTATCGACAGCTTTGTTTGCTTTAGAGAAAAAATGGTAGGCTAGAACTGCAGATTCCATTCTTTTCACCAGATGTCTCTACTCTATACCAGTTTGCTCACAGCTTTAAAGTCAGGCAGGCATGTGCTCTTCCTCTTTTTTTTTGTATACATATACAAAATCAAGAGAATCATCTATAAAAAAAATCTAAATATCAAAATTGCAATCTTACCAAGCGTCTCCTTTCCTCTTCAACAGTGTTCAACAGCTGGGAGAACTCTTTGAATGACTGGGCTGAAATACAAAGAAAGATCATTTCTTTTTTTTTGGTAACATATTTTTTGCCATTTTGCTTTATTTTGACAGTACAAAGAGAGGAGGAGACACAAAAGGGAGGGGAGAAAAAGAGAGGGGAATGACAGCAAAGGCTGCGGTAAGGACTCAACCTTGATACGTGGTTTGCGCTCCTGCAAGTGAGCTACCAATTTCTACAAGAGCACTTTAAAGGTGAAAAACTCCATGTTTGGTCAATAAATGCATCGGCATGTATGATACATCATGCACAATATGTTCACCAGTGAGCACGTACACTGTTATCCCCTGTGTTGTTGTATTCAGATGATAAAAAAGGATATTTTAACACAGTGGCTTAGTCGTTAAACATCAGATGTTCCTGGCACCCCACAAGCACTGGAGCATGGTGCTAAAATGTTTATTTGCACTGCAGCTTCAGAGCTTTCAGTGCAGCAAATTTTAGAACCTAATAAAAGCATGCAGCTGTCCAATTCAAGACCAAGACTAGCAGTAAAAACAATACTTCAATTGAATGGAACCCACTGATTACTTCCCTTATTTTCTTACCCTGCTAGGCTTTACAATACTGTCACAATGTAGGAGAGACTGATGTGGTAGAGATATGTTCACACCATCTGGGCTATACTTCAGTAGCTTATATTACATTCCGCAGGGCCAGATGAATTCAGCATACAATACATTGAATCCTATCTGCCAGAGAATTGTTTCTTGATAGCTTCACAGCTTCATTAAATAGAGGGCCAGATACAGTGTGGCCTCTGTTGGTCAGCCCCTGTGTCACCCTGTGTTCAGCCATTTAGCAGCGGTCGAGCTGCTCTGCTTGCCAACGCAGTAACATCATTATCAGCCGCAACAGCCTGGCATAGGGACCCATGCATCATCTTAGACACTTTGGTCCATTTACACACCAAAGCTTTTAAAGACCAGGGAGCAATGATTTTGTGCCAGTGATCCTACAGGCAGGCTGGCCTCCTATTAACGCCACTAGCTCCTTTATCAACAGCACAAACCTCTCAGGGGGTAAAGGGCACAGCTGGAGCCGTTGATGGGACAAGATTAGACTCCAAAGAAAGGAAATGGGAGTCAACGTGAGGTTACAGCTTGCATATCATTCACTGGTAAATGGAGAAAAGGCAATAGACCTAATGAATCACTGAAGGAAATAAAATTTACTACCTCAAGAGGATGAATGAGGAAGATGAGCTTATGCGAAAATAAAGAGAGACATTACCACACATCTACATTTTTTCTGCATACTATAAGAAGATTTGTATATTTCTGATCAATGTTATGGGTTGAAATGTTGCTTCTCTGCTTGATATTTAATGTTTCAGATCTAGAGATAGACCTCACGTGACTTGTCCCACCCCAGAAGGCTCTGAACAGCTCTTGGAGACTAAAGGATTGACCTTCTGAGAGAAGGGCATGTAACTTTTCTAAAAATTTAAATTTCTATAGCCACATCAATCTTTTGGCCCCATTGATTCCAGAATAACTGGCGTGGAATGTGAATGTCACTGCAGGAAGTCATAGAGTGAAATCAATAAAAGGTCAGGTGAACCCGTCTGGCAGCACATACAGGATCCCGGTGTTATGTGTGGAAGTTGGGAGCATCAAAGTGAACTATACCAATATTGCATCAAGATTGTGGCTGGCATTCACACAAGGGTCTAGCTATGTCAGTCAGAAAGCTCAGTTTCATTGATGACTAGATTGATTTCAACAGGCTGTTTCATTTTTCCTCAAATTGTAATCATAGCCTCTTCTCTTCCGAGATGGTGAGTGAACACAGTAGCTTAGAGTATGAGGAGATCATTTCTCTTTAGGAAGATATCAAACCCTTAAACTTGCAAAATAACACACTTCGATGTGGCCCGATTAATGGTGTATCTGTTGAAAGAATGTATGTGTTGGGGATGCAAAATCTTCTTGGTGTTAAGTTATTTATATTATTTTCAATTTCACTATGTTGTTTGTGCCAGTGTTGCATCCACAGTGGTCTTGATTAAATGCCTCCCAAGTGCATAAATTTACCATTGTCTCTAATACACAGTCAATAAAATGCTTCCAAACAGCTCTGTCAACTGAGCCACAGGCACGGCCGAACCACTGGCTTCTATTGTGCCAGTGATTTGCACTGTAAATACACAGCAGGTCCAGTAACATAACAGGTGGGTAGCTAAAATATCCACTGTACAATCTGAGAGCAATACCGGTCTTGATTGAAGGCCAGCGAAAGGGTACATTGCCTCAAATTAAAGCATGCTTGATTCTAATGAGGCTTGGATTTGGGTGTGGACTTTTCCAATAAGCATAATTGGTCTCCTGCACCCCTGCCTATCATACAGACGCCACAGCTTTGGGAGAAAAAAGGGAAGAATGCCTATTCATTACGCATTCAGATGAACATTACAGCCTCATGTAGAGGAGGTCGATATCCAGTCTAGCCCTCACAGATGGACAGTAATTCAGCAGTCTCCAGCTCCACGGAGCGAAGGACTCAAGCTGGGGATAATGAGCAGTGAAAAAAAAGAAGAGGAATAAGAGGCCAGACTGGGAGTCCTGCCCATTAGAGCCAGAGAGGCCCACTGCACAGCTGCTTTCATATTCCTGTTGGAGGAAAGGAGGTTCGCACCTCCATTAATCTCTGACACTGATCACAATTAGTCCCTCTGATCTCTTATAGGCTTGAAAAGATACAGGGGAAGCATCATAAGCAAATCAATAGCATTAATTATACATGCATCACAGACAGCTTTAAGATCTATACTAAAAGCCAAATCCCATTCTAAGAATTTGCAGAGTATGCTTAATTTTGTCTGAAAACAGTTCCCTGTGACTCTGATGAGGCTTTCCCCTCTTTCTACTACTTTCACTGATGTAAAATTGCTCAAATATAATAATATCATATGTTGAGCACTTGGTCCTCAGCCAGAGGACAGCTCTTATGATACGTGTAAGCACTGCAGCCAATTCTGTTCAAGTGTCTCCCCAGAGAATCCTTACTGAAATGTCAGAAAAGGTTCGGACTGAGGTTACAATCTAACTAATTGGTTAGAGCAGAGAGGAAAGAAGATTAAAGACTGCAAAGAGAGAGATGTGCCCTCCTGGGCCTGGCAAAACTAAACTTACCAATGTTCACCTCGTCATCTGTCTCTGCATCACCTATGCACTCAAACTGGAACTCCTGCAGGGACTGGGAGAACTTCTGGACGGCAGCAGAAAGATCTGGAAAATCAGAAGGTCTAAGCATCAGAACAAACCATTGCACAAATGCTTCAGACATTCAAGACACATGGATCACATTCTACGTATGCACAATAGAGGGCAAACCTAATGTAACCTCCTTGCACTTTGCACATACAGTATACCCATGAACTACTTATTAGAAGTTACATGGAGACTGGTTTACTTAATGCCTCTGAAGTCAGATCGTTATATCAGCGTGTCAAGGTAGTCTTTCAATCACTTTGATTATTGACAAGTTGGCAGCATAATGTATAGAAAGAGAAAGCAAAAAATTCAAACTCAATAATATGTCATAGTTTATCATATTCACCAGTATACGTAGATTTCATTTCTCCCTTTGTGGTACTTTTAGTATATGTATATACACACACACACATATATATATATATATATGTGTGTGTATACACACACACATTACCCTGAAAGTTGTAGTGTTAAGTTTGCTATTTGTTATAGTGATAACAACAGCAACAAAATAGTGGAACCTAAGAAGACTATTACTTGACAACTTCTGGGAGCAAAACAGCAAAAGAATGCACTTTTATGATCTGCTGACTGTCCAATTCTATGCCCACTGACATTCATACAATAGCAGTTCTGTGAGTGACTGCAATATCTGCTATATTTACTTTATCACTTGTCCATTGATCATAATACTGAGATCTGTCCAGAAAAATTAAGCCCAGCTGAGCTGCCTAACCTTTGTGTCAAACATGATATAGTACAAGTTAAAATCCTTAGAAAAATTCCACCTTTGGATCCTCTCACACTGTTAGATAAAAATGTATGATGTTTATTGCATTCCAGGAGTTCAGTTGTGATAAAATGCTGTCCTCATTTTTTCAGAGTGACATTTGACAACCTGCAGAGAATTTGTGTTAGTCTTTTGTGTTCCAGCTTTCCAGTCGAGAAAAAAAAAGTGAGTCCTGCCTTTTATACAAACATTCACTTCTGATGTCAGTGGAAAAATTGGTGCCTTTACAGTCTGTATTTTTCCGATTGTAAATTTGCATTTGACAATTAACTTCCAATGACTTTAAATATACTTTAACAATGCCACAGGACTATGCTATAACAATGTGTTACATACTATATTTCATCTTTGCTCAGGGGAAACTATGTTTTTTGATGTTTTTTTTGTTTGGTATGTTGAACGGCTCTAAATACTACAGGACCCATGAGCCTTTGCAGTCATTGCTAAAGGTTTAAATCAATCCAGACATATTCACAAAGCTTGAATGTAGCAATCAGGAACAAATCGCTGCACCGTTGCTGCTGAATTGATGAATCGATCCAAATATGATCCAAAATCAGAAAGAGAAATCTGAACTGATTTAAGCTGTTGAATGTTATTTAACAATTTCTACAACTTCTGTTTTCATCCTGCTGTTAGATCCCTGGGAGACGCTTGACTTCTCTAGTAAAGTATATGTATATGGTCTTGTACCTTTGACTCATTAACAATGAACCAGAATTGGCAAAGAGCAATTGCTCATCACTTGTAGTGATGAGTCAACCGGAGTGTTACATGTCCATTCAAGAATTAGATTGCTTTAACAGTCTCTCACCTATACTGTGTATGTAGGAAAAAAAGACTAGATTTTTATTCCCTGAACCCTGCCGGCTCAAAATAAACCTTCCCACTTCACTTCTCTATCTCCCACAGAATAAATAAAAACAACAAACAGCAAAATGGGCCCATAAGTGTATGTCATGTTGAGGTAGCTCAACGTGACCTGCACTTACCAGCTTTTACCTTTTCTCTCAGCTTAAAAGCCATAGCTATTGGGATAAAAAATGTATCTAATGTTGTGTTAGTATTTCATTTTTATTTGATTAATGTGCTTTTATTATTTATATAGTTGAGTTTTAATGCTAATTTTCTCAGTGTGAACAAATGTTTATGTGGTGTATCAAATGCTTAAACTCCCCAATTACGCAACATCAAGGCTGCTCAACAACTGCTTTTTAGAGTTTAAGACATTTTTCCTCTCTGAAATAACAGCATGTATAAGCTCAACAAAAATATCTCTGAGTCTCTCTGTATTTTTTTTATTATTGAACACATTAGGATAATGTCATTTTGAGTTATCATGTGGAAATGAGTTTTAACAACTATAAGATAAGACAAAAATAAACACTACTCAATTAGAGTAAAATAAAATCTGGGTGGTATCTATCCAGACCCATTACAGATACAGTATATGTATCCAATGATCAGCATGCAAGAAATCAGGCACACAAGTGGTGTGAGGGTCTGATTTCAGTCAGATTCACAAGAAAATCGAACATGTTGGGAGGAAAAGCAATTAAGCTGCTTTTTAACGCGAGGGGCAAAGTAACTGCAGTGCTGACCTGTGAAAAGCTGACCGAGAGCATGAATCACTTGTAATTTTATTTTATTTTTATTATGCAACTGATTTCAATTTGTTTCATACCTCAGTTACATAAAGGTTAGTGTGTGGGTCTGCTGTGTTAGCACTGTGGGTATATTCTTGCTGAGGTGAAAGTAACCTATGTTTACAGGTACTTTAAAGAGTGGGACGAGGCTTTAGCGCGTAATGGAGGCTTTTAACATTTCATAATTTAGCTGAATTTATAATTAAAAGCAAAACAAGACAGAGATTCTAAAATACTCTGACATTTTAGTTGTCAGCCCACACACATTTTCTCATATCCATTGTTGACAATGACTCACTAATTGCCTCTCTCCTTCTTTCTTCTCTCACCAGCACTCATGTATTTACTTCAAAGAACTGTGAACTTAACAGACTCTTGACTGGAAGTAAGAAATTGCACAAGCTAATACAGACTCAAACTTATGTGTTAATGTGATAGAAGAATATGAAGGCTATTGAAGTTGAGGTTGTTATAAACTATACTACTACTAGTACTAGTCTGAATGAAAAAACTGGAGTAACTGTTTTTTTGTTTTGTTTTGCAGATTATTCCTGCACATATTGTATGCATATGTACACTTTTACATATTTTTCATACTTTAGATGCTTCATATTCTGGCATTACACATTTAAGAGCCATAGCTTTAGCTCATTAAGAAGGACCCCTTACATAGCTATAATTACTACAGGAACAATATAATGAAAAGTATAAAATGAGACATGCTGTCAAAATAAATGAATAAAGAAAGCTATTTAATTGATCACTTTTTTTAGCAACTATAATAATAATAACTGAACGTTGAAAACTGAAAATTTTGAAATTACTTGCTTTCAAATTTTCCTTTTTTTAGTTTAAGTTTAACAGAACTTTTCTGTTTGATGTAATGTCTGACAGTTCATAATGAATATAGTGATGAAACCTATACAGCTCCTACTGTGACAACAATAGTTTATCTAACAGGCATCCCGAAGTATAAACCGGCCTTAAAAGCACCCAAAAATCAATGCTCTCATCTTCACAGGGGCATAAATAGCTTGGGAAGTCTAATACAAAAGAGTCATCTGATATTTGTCAGTGAGTGTCTTTTTCTTTACATAACAGCAAGCGTTGTTATTATGTATTTCAGTGTATTTTTGTAATCTGTAGGCACAGAATAACAACATTTTGCTCAATGAGACCACAGATTGAAAGGCTCTCAAAGACATCTACACCATAGGGAACCACTAAATGTTGCTAAGGCTGCCTGAGTGAAACTTTTCCACCAGATGTATAGTGCCAGTGATGTGCTCCTATCATTCCTGCTTTGACTCTAAAGCTGCTGATTTGAGATCAATACCGCAATACAGCTGCAGTTGTCTGGATGTGCTCGCAGGACCATCAATAACAGATGATCTTTTAGCTCAGACATACAGACAGGCACCAACCTCACAAAAACAAACCTACGAATGTGGCCGCCAACTCAATGCACTTTCCTTATAGCCACCAAAAACCAAGGAATATAACATACAAACCAAACAAACAACAAAAAAATCTCTCAAAATCAGCCTCATCATCTGATATTTGCTTGCTTTGTAATAATCTTTAACAGTAACAGCATTCAATATAATATTGGGTTACTCAGTATCAACTCAAATCTCAAACTGTCAATTACCAAAAGTCCATATGTATTATTTATTCAGAAAGTGCCTGATTGAATTTTTTATTTTTGCCTGTTAAATATACATATAAAACATACTGTATACTGTATATATTTTTTTCATATTTATGGTAAAGTGGGACATAAAACTAAGGTTACATGGTATCAAATACTTTACTTGGTGGTAAATCCAGAGCACCTCATCATTAGCATTTTCACAGCTACAGCTCTCATTACAGCACTTCTTCGTCAAGGGCTCATGGGAGATGTGGTTGAAACGGGTGCTGAACCTGTCCATTCAGGAGCCTACACACTTACTTATTTTTGCATCTCCACTCTAAATTAACAAACCTTAATAGTCTAAGTACAGTGTGCAATTTCAGTTACAGCAGCAGAGCTTAGGGAAACAGGTTGCCTAGATGATGAGGCTCACTACACTCTGTCGCGGCTATACCTCAGTGTGAACATATGCATTAATAAATGTTTACCATATTTTAATTAGGGGAATATTCAAGAAAAATCTGTCACAACAATTTTGTGTTTAATTTCTATTTATATGCATTATTTACTATGTTTGGGAATCACCACATGTGATTTTGGCCCTCTGCTCATTAGTGGACACTGCAGAAAATATTTCTCAAGCTGTTACAAAGAAACCAACTGAGTAAAAGTGATCACAAGGACGAGTATCAAAGATAAATGGAAAGAGAATCAGTATAAAGAAAGATAAATGAACAGCTTACATTTTTAACCTTAGGCAAGCAGTAAAAGCATAATCAGTGCAACACATTCCAGGTTGTACATTCAAGTTTTAGTGGAAACAGTGCAGACAAAGAGCCGCTTCTTTCAGGGTGTTTTATCTATTTAAATGTCAATGCTTGCTGTTGGCTTTCTGCCTCCAAATATTTAAGTCTACTGATGAATTAAGTTTTTGTTCATCAGC